TTTCCACTTCCTCAGAAGTGTTGCATTTTCCTTCTTAGACAAATCACTTTTGTCTACCTCCGCGGAGGAATCTTTTTTTTTCTACCTCCTCAGAGGAATCACTTTTATCTACCTCCTCGGAGGAATCTCTTTTTTTTTAACCTCCTCGGAGGAATCACTTTTATCTACCTCCTCGGAGGAATCTTTTTTTTTTCTACCTCCGTAAAGGAATTGCTTTCATCGACCTCCTCGGAGGAATCACATCCATAGTCCCCTCGCGCATTCCAAATTCCTCAGAATCAGCAAGTGCACTAGTACAATCAAAATTGAATCTTATTTAATCAGATAGCATTTTTCTTCGTGAATGGCTTGGGTCACATAACCTCTCTTTTTCACAGAGTGCTAGGATAGCGGTTAGGATTTTCTTTTCAGATCCTTCCTTTAATACTTATTATACTTACAATTCTCTCCATCGTCGTCGCCAGATGTAGAGGTTTTCCGTCAAAACAATTAAGAATAACTCGTTATCGTTTCTAGATTAAAATCTTCTTTTATTCTGCGCACTCCATCATCTCCACTCCCGTTCACTCGCCCGTCCTTTCTACCTCTCTCCCAATCCACCACACCCACATTCATTCCCCCGTTCAGCCCGATCCAAGGTTGTAGATGTTGTTCAGGTGTGCTCCATTACAGCTTGTAATTGTATGCGTTGTTAAAGGCGCGTCCCTACAGGGCTATCAATCATTAAAGTTCGGCAAACAGATGATAGAGGGACCAAAGGGTTGGTCATAGGGCAGGGGTACGTTGGAGAAGGAGATTTTCGGAGTAAAGGAAGGCACGAGAGAAGAGAAGCAAAAGAAGCACAGTGGTCAAATGGCACGTGCTATATTTTTGATGAATGTTCCATTGGGTGGTGCATCGCAGAATTCCGGTGGAGGTGGCGTGTCGCCGATGAAGCTGTCCCCCGTGGAAGGGCACGAAGATGGGGCTACCATTATCCAGTTGGCACACTTTAGTGGCACTTGCCCGAAGGACGTTTGTAAGTAATCAGGTCTGCCTAGGCGTGTGGACAATTTATAATTTATTTTGATTGTTTTCAAGATCTCATCCACGTGACGGCAAAATCCATCAGCGGTGACCCGAGGGCAGATTTGGAACCCTACGTGTCGCAGATTCTCTGAAAAGATTATTTCATACCTCCGGAAGAATAACGTATCAACAATCCTCTACGAATTGTACTTCAACATTCCAAAATGCGTCGCGTGCCAGCATCCGTTCGGCTCCCTGCCGGAAGGAATCTACCTGGCCTGCGGTCCGCTTTACGAGTTGGACTACGATGAAAGCATAGCGCGAGCGCGTTTGATCTTTAAGGATATGCTCCCGATCCGGAGGAGATCATAATCGGCGACAAACACGCCGGTGCTGCCGACCAAGCGCTGGAAGTCGTGGCCAGTGCCGAAGAAAGTGACAAGGTGGAAAGCGCTCGGGAGTGTCAGGATAGTGATGCGAGCTCAGAACCAGCTGCCGCCACAGCACCGGGCATTTCCGACGCCCATGAAGCGAAAGAGGACTCGATCGACAATGCCGAAGAATGCCTGGAGCAAAAATAATGAAACATTTGCACTCTTTTGCTTGCTTAATTTATTCCAACTGTATTAATATTTTTATTTAATGTGTGTACGTGTGTAAAATCGCAACGCTGACGTTTTATCATAGTATTTAGAGGCAATAAATTGCTACTTCTTCTGCTTAAACTGATGCAATAGTTATTTTTTAAAGCACTCGGTAGCCTAAACACAAAAATGCTTTTAAAGTGAAATGTTCCGTTTTTTCCGATATGGACACTCGAAATGCCTTACATCATCTTTAGGGTCTCTATTGCTGCAATGATGACTCCCGCTTTTGGGGATCATGATTCAACGTCAAGCTCAACATTATAAAAGCAGACCATTTTAGCCTCTAATGAGCTAGATTATCCTTAACTATATGAAGAAATGAGCGGATAATAATCATCCAGTCAATGATAGACCGATGGTTGTATAAAGATATTCCTTTCTAATTTGGTAGTCATTCCATATACGCACTACCAAATCAGAGAGATCGGGCCTACAGTCGGTGGTTAATTTTTGCAGGACGAGTCTAGGGGGCACGATAATGAAAGTTGATCGAATGGTTGCTGAGCAGATGTAGGCTATTTCATCGGATTATTCAGAATATGCTTTGTTCTTCCCGTTATGCCACTCAACAAGTTCATATATGGCTATGAAGACAGTTACGAAGAAAAAGCTGGTTATGTATATTTTGTGTGTATGCCAGAACTAGCGCTACTTGGAAAAAAATCCATTCCCGTATTCGTGAACTACTATGAAATATGCAACGGTTCCCGTTCACTAAGTATATTAAGACATCAAACGACCAAATGCGTGCTTCGTGGGTGGCATAGTTGAAATCCTCCCGATCATATTCGCATCGATCCTTGCTCCATGTATTCTCACGACGAGGTCACCACTCGTTCCGTCCCATTCTGCCGGTAATGGGTTGTCGGCTGCAATATCCGATGTAAAGGACCTAACGTCTACAGGTAGTTAGTAGTCATGAAGACAATTCTCGCCTCCGTCGATGCCACTCCGTTCGTTTAACAAACCACTTAACGATTCAAACCCTCGAATGCTGCCTTTTGCACGCGATCATAAAGCGGCGTCTATGTGTTAAAAAAAAAAGAAAATCTCAGTGACATTCACTACCCTTCTCGAGACGTTCCTACCTTCTTCCAATATTTTGAAGTATAAGTTTTTGTCCCGCCAAACACAGTCAGCTGTTCCGTTTACCACGGTATTCCCGCGTGCAAATCCAGTGTGTGTTGTTCTCTGGCTTGGTCCACGTTCCATGATCCACGTTCATCCGTATCGCAGCACGTTCGGCAGGAGTGGTCTGAAAATTTATTGTTTATTGTTATCCTTTCTCCAATCAACAGCAAACACATCGCATTGGAATCAGCTGTGATAGATGTAGTGGTTGCCAGAAAACTTTATTTTTCACTCAACGTTTTGACAACTATGTTGACACGCTGAAACACCCGAGGAAACACCTTCCGACACCCAAAAACACCGAAGAAAGAAACACTGTAAGCACGGACACAAGGTGGCAGAGTGACTTACCCCCTGGTATTTTCCTAAAAGGTGTCCACGATGAAATTGCCACACTATGAAATTGCTCTAACTTTTTAACCGTTGGGTAGAATTTAATGAAAATTTGGGTGGATTTAGTTCATAGTGCATTATTTACATCCTGCCAGTTCCATAGCTAAAACGTTGGGAATCGCGAATTCCACGGTGTCACGAGTGATTAAGCGGTTCGAGAAACGGTTGACCACCGATCGGAAGCCCAGAAGTGAAGGAAAAAGTATTCCGTACAACACCAAAAATCACAACCGCGTAGTTGGGGCCTTCAACCGAAATCCGAACGCCTCCGTTAGGGATGTGGCTAAGAAGCTGCACCTAAGCCGAAGTTTTGTCCAGAAGGCCAAAACTAAGGCTGGGCTTCGAACGTTCAAGGTACAAAAGGCCCCTAATCGCGACGAGAAGCAGAACAAGTCCGCCAAAACCCGTGCCAGGAAGTTGTACCTCAACATGCTGACGAAAGTTGAATGCTGCATCATGGACGACGAAACATATGTGAAGGCCGACTTCAAACAGATCCCCGGCAACCTGTTTTTCACGGCCAAGGATAAGTTCAGCGTTCCGGAGCATGTCCGCACTCAGAAGATGTCCAAATTTGCGAAGAAATTCCTGGTTTGGCAAGCCATCTGCACGTGCGGGAAGCGGAGTGCACCTTTCGTGACCCAGGACACGATGAACGGACAGGTGTACATAAAAGAGTGCCTCCAGAAGCGGCTGCTTCCTCTCCTGAAGGCCCACAACGTCCCAACAATCTTCTGGCCGGATTTGGCCTCATGCCACTACTCCAAGGACGTGCTGAAGTGGTATGCGGACAATAAGGTCAATTTCGTGCCGAAAATGTTCAACCCTCCCAACACTCCGGAGCTTCGCTCCATCGAGAAGTACTGGGCGATTATGAAGCAGCACCTTCTTAAACGACCTAAGGTAGTGAAGACAGTCGAGGAACTGAAGAAAGTATGGGTTTACATGCAAAAAACGGTTGATTCACAGGTTGTGCAGAATCTTATGGCCGGGGTTAAGGCCAAGGTGCGGGCATTTGCGTATGGACTGTAAATAAAATACGAGTAAAATGGTAAAATGAAGTTTAATAGTTTTTTCTCAATCCCTGAAAATTTGATGGCAATCGGATGAAAACTCGAATTTTGCGAATCAATTTTGTGTGTGGCAATTTCATCGTGGACACGCTTTATGTGTGTATTTACAATGGATCAATGAAAATGCTGAGTTTTTGACAGAACTATGCTGTGGCTACCACAGTATTTTACATTTGATCGTCCATATACAGTAGCGCCAAAAGCATGCTGTGGTGGTTTCAAAACTTGACCATCTAAAATGATCGATTCAGCTGATTTATGAAGTTGATCGCCCCTCGGTGCGATTAGCATGGTTCAAACTAATAAGTGTTCAGTTTAAAATCGGCTAGATTTCCAGGTATTCTACGCTTGATTTCAAAATAATTACATGAATTATACTTCAAAATACCATTTATTTATGTGATATTTTACGTTACATACACAACCGAAGGATTGACCTCCCTAATAAAAAATAACCATAAACGAATGATAACCCAAATCATTGAACTATTCCATAAATGGTTTGGATGATACCCAGAACACGTCGTTAAGCAAATTAACCATACAATTTTTATTAGGGCTGATTGCATGATTGTGTAGATTCAACTTATTTTTCTTTTTTGTGTAGCAGGTTCTTGTGAGCGTTGGTTCGTTTCCACTGTTTCCCTTTTTCCTACCCCCCAAAAATGTTTGAAAACCACCGCGGTTCCATAACCGAACAGGCCCTTTCCAAAAAGCCTCCCGTTCCCCTTTTGTTTTGAAACAGCAACCAAAAAGTAAAAAGTTGAAATTTTTCGACGAGTATAATTAATTTGAAAAATCCTTCATTTAAACAACCAAAGATGTATCTGCTATTCGTCGTAAGCACAATCTGTTTCCTGATGGCCTTTTCATTAAAAATTTCCAAACTGGTAAGTCCCCAACATATCGGCCAAAACAAAAATTCACCGTAATCCGAATCCTTCGCAGATCCTGATTGTAATCCTCCGGGAACCGGCGGAACTGCTCTCGCTCCGTGCAACCAGCGAAAAGATCCGCCGAGAGCTATCGAAAATCTCCATGCGCGACAACTACATCGAGTATGTCCAAACTGAGCGCAAGCTGGTTCAGCTAGAGAAACGGATGGCCGAACTACGGGACGGGTTCAACGGGCGCAAGGTAATCTACGAATACGGCGTCCAGTACGGATTGTACGCGATCCTGACGCTGGGATTGATTATCGTTTCGATTGGCTATCGGTACACACCGGTGGTGGTGTTCGGGAAGAATTTCAATTTCGAACCGTTCGAGAAGGTGCTGAACTTCCCCACCGGAGTGCCGAATGCCGTTTCCACCGTATTCTGGATTGTAGTGAACAATTTCGTGGCTCGAACCGTGGCCGGCTATGTGAAGTAAATAAAACTGGTGGAATGTAAGTAAAGGGCTGTTTACGTAACTATTTTTGCGTTTAATTGTCTAGGTAGTTTCTGTCAAACTTAACTTGATCTTCGATCCATTTGGCGACCTTGAAGATTCGCTTTTCGGAAAAGTTAGGTGCCATTAACTGCAAGCTGATGGGTAGTTTTTGTTCCGAAAGCCTTATCGGTAGCGAGAGGGCCGGAATGCCTCCCATATTGGCCGGTTGGGTGCAGAAGTCCTGAACGGCACACTGATCTCGATTATTGCTTTGGACAAATTCCGAATACCGAGGAGCGTCGCTCAAAGTTGTTGGCGTTAGAAGGATGTCCACCTCTTGAAAGGCTTGGTCAAAATCGTTGGCAATTTGCCGTCGAACTTTCAGAGCTTTTTCGAAGTATTTATCATAGTTTCGTCTCAACAGAAAGAAATTTCCTGCCAAAATTCGGTTCTTAACGACTCCATTGAATCCTTCCGCTCGTGACTTGGCATAGAGCTGTTCCGTGCTGGCATCCTCGTCAGAGCGATGACCAAATTCGATTCCGTCGTAACGAGCCATATTGCTGGCAACCTCGCACTGATTCAGAATCGAGTACACGAAGATTGACGCGGATGTGTAAGGAAGGGAAATGGCTTTGACGGTCGCACCTGCATCTTCCAACAAGTCAGCGACTTTGGTCCAGGTGCTTAGCACTTCATCCGACAGGCCTTCGCAGTGGTACTCAATAGGAATTCCAACTTTAAGTCCCTTCAGGCATATGCTGGCAGCGTCTGGGATGGAGATGGGTTTGAAGAAACTTTTGATAGTGGTGGAATCCCGGTCATCTGGTCCAGCAATCGTATTGAACACGGCCAGACAATCGTCTACGGTTCTGGTGAGAATTCCGGGAACGTCCATCGAATTAACCAACGGAATTAAGCCATGTCTTGACAGCAGTCCATAGGTAGGTTTAAGTCCTACGACTCCACAATACGAAGCAGGATTACGAGTCGAACCTCCGGTGTCCGATCCTAGTGCCCTGAAAATTACAAACTTGCGTCATGCTTCCCACTATTCTATTCCAATTGCACTGTAACTCACGCAAAACAAATCCCCGAGGCCACAGCGACCGCGGACCCCCCACTACTTCCCCCAGCAATCCGATACTCATCACCATCCACATCTGCACTCCAGCAGTTCTTCGTGGGTCCAAAAATCGAATCCACCGTTCCCGAACCCATCCCGTATTGATCCAAGTTGGTCTTTCCCACCAGCACGGCCCCGGCCCGTTCCAGTCGCTCATAGACAGTTGCATTATACATCGGGACGAAACTTTCCAGCATCCGAGCGGCACAGGTCGTGGGTATGCCTTTGATGCAGAAGTTATCCTTCACGGCAATCGGGGCACCGTCCAGCACGCCTAGAGGTTTACCCGCTTTGTAGCGGGAGGAGGATTTTTCCGCCTGGACCAAGGCTTTCTCCGGAGACGTTCGGATGAACGCATTCAGGTGTTTGAGGCGATCGGTTAGTTGAAGTGTCTGCTCGGTTGTTGAAAACGGCTCGAGCGATCGAGTACGGAAACATTCTGAAAGCTGCAATGCGAAACATAGTTTGATTTGTTGAGTGCTAAGGATATTACGGACTTACCTCCTTGAGCTTTAGCGGTAACCGACGGTTCATTCAGTTATTTTAGACGGTTATTGTTGTAATAATCACTTCTGAGCCGGTAAATGCATTCGACGACAAAATTTGTTTACATCATCGCACCGCAGCATGAGTGCACAATAACCACCCACCGCCACCCACAAATGTTGACACATTGGTGGTGATTCGCTTTCCTCCTGTTCCATGTAAAGCCCTACAGTAAAAGTATGGAAGTCTGTCAAAAGTTGTTCCAATCGAACCGTCAAAATGCACCGCTTTGCTCGATTGGAACAGCTTTTTTTCAGTTTTGTGGTGACAGTCGTCCATACTTTTACTGTAGGGCTTTAGTTCCGTGTATCTCCAATTCTGGATCAACAATAGAAAAGGGCCCATCAGCATTTGTAAACAAACCGTTCCAAAGCCCTTTACTCACAAAGCAAAGGCCACCCACGCAAACCAACACCATCATCAGATAGCGGAAACTTCTACCTACACGATGATGGTGTTGGTTTGTGTGGGTGGCCTTCGCTTTGTGAGTAAAGGGCTTTGGAACGGTTTGTTTACAAATGCTGATGGGCCCTATTCTATTGTTGATCCAGAATTGGAAGATAGCACGCTATTTCAAAACTACCCAAATTTGGGAAGAATCCATCCAGATCGGTCAAAACTGAACCTACCCAAAAATTTGTAAACTATGTTGGGAGAGACAAGTTGACAAATTAACAACGTCGATCGGATTTATGTCGATGTTGTTCATTGTAAACTGTGTTGGGTCCCATATTTTGGTAGGTTCGGTTTTGACCGATCTGGGTGGATTCTACCCAAATTTAAACTCCACCCAGATCGTTCAAAACTTCGTTCAAATCTTCCAATTGGAAAAATATTATGCACGTTCCTTAATTTCCACTTTCATCTTGGTGAAAATCGCACATATTTACCATTTTCTGAAAAATGCAGCTGCGCAGGAGGTAACCTCTCCCTGTGGGTGCAAACTTGTTATGCATAATTTGCCATGAAAACATCTCCGATCCATACCGAAATAATAACAAATAGTTTTCAAACACGTTTTCTTACACGATTCAAGCAAAAGTTTCCACGGGAAATTATTAGTTTTTCTTTATGAACCGATTTGCCCCAAAAAGCGTCTGTTTTACTTGGAAAATTTGGAAACTATCCTCCTTCTAGTAGTTCTCACTTCGAAATGTAGGTGGCGAAAGCTTGGAAAAGTTTCACTGCAAGACGCCAATAACAAAAATAATGACTTTTATCTGAATATCAGCATAAGAAATTCTTAATAAGAAATCATAGATTTCATTGGACACATAACGTTCCTGTGATTTAGTGGTGCAATTTCCAATCACATGAAAGTTATGTAAAATTCACACGGATATTTTTGGTAACTAATTGTTCTTCTTCCGGTGTGGTTCTGTACACGCTATTTCAAAACTATCAAAATTTGGGTAGAATCCACCTATCTGGGTGGATTCTACCCAAATTTGGGTAATTTTGAAATAACGTGTAAGATGTGCAACGCCAGCGCCATCAGGTTGTCAAAGACCGTTTTTAAGAGCAACCGTAACGGTCGTTGTCATTTGCGCGACTATTTTAACAGCACACAGCGCTCTCATTTTAGTTTAGTCACTCTTCTCCACACCGGTCGCTGCTATCGCGGTTATCAATTTACTCGCCATAGTTCGTACCGGTAGTGAGAATTTTGACATTTCTACGAATAGCAGCCTTTCTCCCGCGCTGCTATCGCGCTGCTAAATTTGGTAACGCGCTTCTCACCGAGAAGCCGACTGCTATTTTAGTTACTCGTATGGCAACCCCCGATACGGTAGCTGCGCTATGATGAGGGCTGCTAAAATGAGTTTAGCAGCGAACCGTTACGGTTGCTCTAAATGAGGAAGCCGGCGCTGATGGCGCTTAAGTCGAATAGGAATCGTTACACTACACTGAAAACAAAACTAGCTCAGATAGTGAGTAGCTTTTACTTAGTTATGAGTAGCTGTTACTCATTTGTATGGAGAAATAGGACGTCGGCTCTACTCACTGCAAGGGATATTAAACTCTGCACACCCTAATTCGTGCCAAAAGATTCAGTTGTGCCGAAAGCTGTGCCAAGCGCTGTGTCGAACGTGCCTATCAAGGTCAATCAAAGTGTGCCTATCAAAGTGTCAATATTTCATGAGTTTGGCAGTCCTGATAGCAATGATTTTTATGATTGTGTTTACATTCTCAACTTATCTGATCGTGGCAAACATTCACCAAAAATGAGCCTTGAACTGAGCTGTCAAATTAACCGGGTTGTCAAACACAGAGATGCAAGATTTACAGACATGTCTGTGAATTTACAGACTTTTTTTTTTCACAGACTTTTGTAATCTAGGGAAAAGTTTAAAATTTATTTGATGACACTGTTTTACACCTTTAATCAAATTACACGTGCGGTCCCAGACAACCAGAAGTCGTATAACAATGTACAGACACTAGCGTAAATTGCTACAGTTTAAGTCAAAATCGCATATAAGAATGGCATACTTCGCATTATGTTTAAGTTAAATCGTATAGAATGCATATTTCCGACTTATATGCGATGACTCATTTTTCACAAATAAATCAGATTACATCGTAAGACTTCTCAAACTTAATTTTTTATTACAGATTAAACCGTATATGATGTTAAATCAACTCGTTTAAAATTAAATTAAAATATGCACGTATATGGCCTCCGCTTTTGTACGTATAAGCCATTTCTTTGCATTCTATACGAATTGTTTGTTTGTATATATGTTTGTATATCACGAAAACAACTTTGAATATTCGTGCATTCTGGTTGTCTGGGATGCATTTTTCAACAAGCATTAGAAATTCGCGCGTTTTCAAATCCACCACACGAATGAGCTGTCACTGTTATAGATGGTCATAGTTCTAGATAGAGTTGGAATAAGGGCGTAACAGCTTTTGTAAACAATGATTTCTCTCGAAGTTTTTTAGGCATTCAAGGCACGGGTAGGGGACGTCTTACCCTACCTGTTGGTGATGTTGATTTTCGTGGGCGAGCCTTGACTTTCAAGAAATCATCGAAAGAAGGTATTGTTTACAAAAGCTGTTACACCCTAATTCCAGCTCTATCTTGAGTTGTAGACCTGTCAATGTGCTGCCATGTTGTATCCAAAACGAACATTTTCCATACGATTTGACGGTTTGTTTGGATACGTCAACTCACGTTGGCCGGTCTATAACTTGACTGCCCTAATAAAAATAACCATAAAAGAGAGCTTAACGACGTGTTTGGGGTATCATCCAAACCATTTGTGAGATAGTTTACCCATTCGGGATACAGTTCGTTTATGGTATTTGTTTATTAGGGTGTCTATATAGTCACTGTCACTGAAAAATTCAAATGTGCGGAATCCAATGTGCGATCAGGATAAAATTTAATAGCGTCATATGGGAGAAAAGTTCAAACAAAATGGAAGTGGTTTCACTTAAATCGGTTCAGCCATATCTGCGAAAATTGAGTGATTTACACTCATATGAACTTACATACATACATACATCTGCTTTGATCGACTCTCTTCATCGACTTTCTCTTTCGTTAATAACTTAGCTGCAAATTTCCTGTTGTATTTGACGATTTGGACGATAGATAGAAACCTCTTTTATCATGGTAGTGGCAAAAATAGCACGAAAACTGTTGGAATTGAGATTTTCACGTCCGGTTGTATTGGTGCTATATGTGAGAGCGTGCTAGTGAATATCCGAAGAAAATACATAAAAAATCGATGTCAAACTCATTTTGACAGGTCTACTTTCATACATTTTTTAGGTTAGAAGAAAAAATCGGCTAAGTCCACGTAAACAGTACCACTAAACTGTCATCAGATTGAGGTTAAGGTTCAACGAACCATCATTGTTTTTTCAATCATTATAAAAAAAAATCAAAAGCAGTTTTTTCGTTCAAATTCAAAATTCTGCCAACGAAAATGTCATCATTGCATTCTACTGGCCTATCGGAGCACAGTGATGACATTTTCATTGGCAGAATTTTGAATTTGAACGAAAAAACCGCTTTTGATGATTGAAAATTCAATGATGGTTTGTTGAATCTTAACCCCGACGGTGCAAAACCTAATAGCCGTGGTTATCAAAAGAGAATAGATTTCTCTGACGTTTGTGAAATAAAAAAGTCGACAGTGAGCATGCATAAGGGCGTATACGCGATGATCGATTCTCTTCATCGATTTTCTCTTTGCATTGCTACAGCTAAGCGAAATAATTTTCAAGAATGTGTTCAATGCAGAGTTGTAACAGGTTGTATTGGCTATCAAAAGCAACAGCAAACGCACCGAGAAATGTTAATTCTAGTGAGTTGTTAACAAAAGAGAAAATCTACGAAAAGAATCGATCATCGCGTTTACGCCCTTATGCATGCTCACTGTCGAAGTCGAGGTCGAAGTATTATACCACAGACAGACATACAAATTAGTACTGTTGTACCATAGAGGTAACTCTAAGACTAGAAGGTCCCGAAATAACGTGCTCAACTTTTTGGCTCAGCTCTGGTACTCTCTTCGGTCCCAAGCTAATGATTCACCCCTCGAAAAACCAATAACCCATCATTTTATCTGTCAAACTTTCATAGCGAATCAAAACAAACATTGCGTAGTACTAGAATTTCGACTAGAATAGGGTACGTTAATCGTTTGCTTGGGACCAATAGGCTACTAAAGTGGTGAGCCAATTTAAAATCGTTAGTTTCGTATTGATTGTTGGTTGTACCGTTGTACCAACAATCAATACGAAACTAACGATTTTAAATTGGCTCACCACTTTAGTAGCCTATTGGTCCCAAGCAAACGATTAACGTACCCTATTCTAATTGAAATTCTATTACTACACTATTTTTGTTTTGATTCGCTATGAAAGTTTGACAGATAACATCAGGGGTGTGTGGATTCATGCAGAACATGCAGGGGTGAGTGAAATAGCTTGGGACTGCTTGGAACCGTTGTTCTGGTACTGAGTGAGCCAAAAATAATAATGATTTTCTTCGGGACCCAGTGGTCTTAGAGTTACCTCTATGGTTGTACTTCTTTA